ATATATATATATATATACCATTATATATCTATACACAGATACACACATATAACTGACTCTACCCTAGTCCTGTAGAGGAACTCTGGAGCACAGGTCTCAACGACTTTTTTCTCGAATGGATGACACACTGCACCCTACTGTAGGGCCCTTAATAATAAGAATAGATTTTTTGGGGTCCCTTTTAAAGGGCTACTTAAAGGCTTCCATAAGGGCTACTATAAGGGTTTAGGGTTTAAGGGCCTTCATGATTAGAATAGGGTTTTGGGGCCCATTATACCATAATTGTAATAAGGACCCCCAAAATAGTATAGGTAATTATTAAGGCCCCTACATTACTTCTTCACCGCCATCTCCATCCACAAAGTGCACCCAAAGGTTGGGGCATCCCAACTCAGGCGTGATTGTAGAAGGCGTCCTTCACCCCTCCTTTCATCTCACTCTTTGACGTCCTTGACGCGGACAGCTTCCCCGTGATCTCCGGCTCGAGACCTCGAACGCCCACACTTTGAGTGTGGTCGCAGGGTCCCCTCCACCTCCGACGACGACCATGGGGTTCGGTAGCTCGCTGATGTACCCGAGCCAAACACAAGTTCGCCTTCATGCCAGTCTTTTGCCGAACGCAGAGTGGTACTGGATGTAGTGACCTGAGAGCACTGCGGCTTGTCTTATCACCGGATGATGTACTCTGACTGGTTTCTGGTACCTGGATGCCCATAAGTGTTCGGGTACTTGGAGACATCCCCCTCTAGTAACGCTTGTAGCATACCTCATGGCATCGCAGTAACCCTTATCGTAACCCCTAAACCCTAAACCCCTAAACCCGAAACCCTAAACCCCTAAACCCTAAACCCCTAAGTTGCACAGAACTCGCTGGCACCACCATCTCTGACAGCACATCGTCGGGAGGTCTTGGCTTCGGTATGAAGGTTGCGCCTGCGGCTTACGATTTATAAGTTTTGCCAAGGTTTGACATACTTCCCCAATAAGCTAGGGAAATAAAAGGTTTAACTTTCAGATTACTGCTAAATTATAAGAACCCCAAAAAGCTTAAAGGTTGGGTATTGGGGAACTAAGTTGAAGTCCTGGATTCAGGCAACCCCCCCTCCAACAAAAACAAGACGAAACCGCAACAACTCCACAAACCATCACCCCAAGGAACCCAAGCTGGTCAAGCACTTCAGATCGACCCTAAACCCCTGAACCCTCAACACCAAAGGGGCTCAGGGACATCCTTGAGCTTGTCAAAGACTCGACAGGGAAATGCTTCGAAGGAGTCGTCTAGAAAGTCCTCTTGGCTCACGATATAGCATCTTGCACCTAGACCCTGGAATGTAGGTTTAGGTTGGTTGGTTGGTTTAGGGTTTAGGGTTTAGGGTTTAGGGTTTAGGGTTTAGGGTTTAGGGTTTAGGGTTTAGGATCTTGAGTTTAGGCCCGATTAGGGCTTATATAGCATGGAGGATTTAGGGCTTAGTACCCTGTGTTGAACAAGTTAAGCGCCTATAAAATCAATCTTGGCTCTGAGTATGATGGTACTGCAGGGGTCTTCTTGATTAGAATACGTTTTTTGTGTAGATTATTTGTACTCTTATTCATTAAAGAAACAATAAGAGGATGCTAGTATTATATTACTAAGTATGCAGGCCTCTATGGTTGCCAGGATCTTGACAGCCCTCTAATTTGGATATCCCGGAATCTGCCAGAACTCCCTCAGGGATTACACCGCAAAGCCCCGCAATATAGAAGCCCACAGCCTAAACTAAACTCCCCGAAACCCTCCAGAACACCGTTCCCGTCTTCAACCTTTCTTATTACACACCCTAATATGGATTCTATAGGGACCCTACAAAAAAGTAGGTTTTGGTAGGTTAAGGCAACACCTATCCCTGCAATGCCAAAGGCATCTGAGCAACAAGTCGGTCGGTCAAGTGGTTCAGTCATCCAGCTTTTGAAATCTTCGAACCAGCCTCAGGCACAATGTAGGGGCCTTAATAATTAAAATTGGGTTTTGGGGGTTACTTCATTTCATTATAGTGTACTTTACCCCAAACCCTATTCTATTGTTTAAGGCCCCTATATTACCGTCCTCGAGGATCCTTCAAGTACCTAACAATAACCTTTGCTTACTTCCCCAATAAGCCAGGGAAATACAAGGTTAAACCCCAGATCAAAACTAAGTTATTAGCGCCCAAAAAGTCTAAAGATTGGATATTGGAGAACTAAGTTTACAATAATAACAATAATCAGAACAGACATTACAATAAAACATAGGCCTCTGGCATGTGGGATAGGATTTTCTTGGGGGGATGTGATGATAAAATACATCTTGCTGTTTATGAGGAGACATTATCACAACTTATTCCGACCCTATGATTTCCTTAGCTGCCTGAAAAATACATAGTGCAAAGAATGTATACAGGATTGTGGCGTGCGCAAGTATCCCGGAGTTCAGGGATCAGGATTGTACCTCGTGGATCAGAGTTGGGGACGGTTAGGGCTTAGGATGAGGCTGGAGTGTTGCGGTTTAGAGTTTTGGCGTGGGCGATTCAGAGCTTGGGGGGCCATAAACCTAAGAAGACGACACAAAACAGATCCCAAAGGTTTGAAAGAGCTAAGTAAGGGCCTCGGGTTTTGGGGTTCAGAGGGCTTTCGGTGCATGGGTTTTGAGTGCTGGGCCTACTCTAAAGTATCCCGACGCCCTAGTCATTGAAGCCTTGGCCCACCCCCCCTCAACGGCGAGTCCTCAACTCCACACGCTGGACCCAAACCCTAAACCCAACGTGGCAGAAGCCCCTCAAATGACCAGACACAGAACCTCAAGACGCACAAACAAAGATCTACCAAGTTGACGGCGGAAACCCGGAATAGATGGGGCAAAGGGTAGTACTCTGGGGAACGAAATAACTCAAGAACTGCTTTGAGTGCCATGCCTGCTCGAGAACCGACCCGACAAGGAAGTCACCAAAGCCTTGCATGGCTAGTTGGGTTCAGCATTTTGGGGTTGTAGGGAGTTCAGTCTTATCGGGTCGTGTCTTTCTGGTGTTGAGGGCTTGTGTAGTTTTACGTCGTTTGGGGTTCTGGTTCAAGTCTCGGATAAGGAATGCTGAATGCGGGACTGCACCGACAAAATTGGAGTGATATAGAGTCTTGACACAGATTGCACGCCCCTGCATTGCTGCTGCCCAATATCACACCAGGAAACCCTCAACAGCATGGACCTATGGTTTCAGACCAGAACACCCACTTGCCCTGAATATCCCAAGTACCCAAGTGGGGTATTACACAACGCAGTACCTGATACAGCACCACCGCTTTCGTATTAGGGCTACTTGCACAATTCGTTCCTGATAAAGAAACACTACTATGCAGGGTAGTATGTAGATACGTGAGACATCCGAAGCCCGAACAGCCGAAGACCCTAAACCCTAAACCCTAAACCCTAAACCGTAGCCAACCGACAAGCCTCACTCCGCTAAAGCCAGGAGCTTGAGTCTTGCGTGCAAGGGCGAGCAATGTATGCATATGAGGACCCAGTCTTGAAGAAATACCTGTGCAGCAAAACTGTAAAGAACAGCAAACACACGTTGGGCTTGAAGGTTTATTTGTTAGGATGCCCAGTATCCCGGGACTAAAAAGGGCTACCTCTTTGGTAGTGGGTACCAGTATCAGAAACCTACGACTTCAAAACGAGCAAAAAGGGCAAACCGGAAGACCTAAAATAGTGTGAATCGGTGCTACAGCTTGTTTACTTGGAGGTCCATGGGTAGTTATAAGTAGGGTTATAAACCCCCTAGAATGGGTCATAAGTAACATTACCCTAGTTATAACCCCACTTATACCCCGAAGTCCTAAAAACCTCATCCCCCAAACCCTTAAAGCCTAATAAACCCGAAGCCCTAAACCCTAAACCCCAAACCCTAAACCCTAAACCCTAAACCCTAAACCCTAAACCCGAAGCCCTCAACGCTTTAGGGTTTAGGTCTCGACCGGGCGACAGCTGTCGCGGGCACGCCGGTGAGCACCAGGCCGGTAGTAATCATGCGCCCAACCTCCGTTTTAAGGTTTAGGATTTAGGGTTT